TATTTTTTCTATGTAATTAACTGGCCACAGCGACAATCTCTTACATTTCGTATGTGTGAATTTGTGTGTTAGTATTATAGGTTACTCTTGTGAAAGACTTAACTGTGTTCTTTTTCTTCTGGGCCATATTATGATTCTTTATCATGCACTGGACGTAATTTTGTAGGCGTTTTGGGTTCTGGGTCCTCGTTGTTTTTGTGTAATTTATTGACTTTCTAAGTGGACATAATTTTCAGGCTCTTAAATTTGTGCTTCATTTGAAGGTCTGTTGGTGATTGTTATTTGTTTTTCATTTCTTGTTGCATGTTTTGAATGGCTAATCCGGATCGTTTCTGGATTTTTTTTGACCTTGGCACCTTCAATTTTACCGTTTTGTATTTAACCCTGTTGGTGAAAAGTTAGTTAATTCTGCACAGAGTTAGTACCCGTTTTCACTTTTTACTGTTCACGGATTAGATAAGTCTGATTAGGGTTTATAAAGCTGCGAGTTTGGTTGATTTTGCACTATATTGTAATTATTTTAATAGTTTCAGGTGAAGATCTAGATGTTCAAATAATTAATACTTCTCGTGTCTTTATAATTTAAATTTTGCATTTTTTGTTGACTATACTGTGTTTCCTTGGACCTTTTTGCTTGGTGTTGGAATCTTTTGTTGATGGTCTTACTAGGATGACTTGGGTGCAGCTTCCCATGTTTTTGACTTTGGGTTTGCCACGACTTATTATTGAGATGCAAGGTCAAATGGCTATTTAGAATGAGTCATTTAACATTATGGATTTCAATCGTTAATGTGATTTTTGAATTCCAGTTTGCGAATAAGATGAAGTATTAACCTTTTCAGTGAGGAATAGTTGTCTGTCCTCTTTGAAGGGCATTGATTTATTGTCTGGGTCAGGTTACTAGATTTTGCTAGTTTTGATATGTTGTGTACTGATTTGTTCTTCTGTAAAAGAGTTAGTTATACTGTGATAATGTTGAGGTTATAATTCTATGTGTCTTTTATGTTTCTTGCTTGCAGCAAGAGAACCTGAATAACTGATAATACTAGCTATGGAACTCAATGGTCACAGGCGAGGCAGACAGAAGGATCTTTTTGCCTATCAAAATGGTGAGTTGAGCACGTCGAGTAGTGAAGATGACCTTGATCCCTGGACTGCCTGGGCTTACAAGCCTCGCACCATAACATTTTTACTAATCGGTGCATGCTTTCTTGTGTAAGTTAGTTAAACTTTGGTCCAGTGACATTTCTTCTTTATTGCAAGCTCTCCAATTTGAATTATTGATTGACTATTAATTGGCTCCTATTTGTTTTTCCACTTATTTTTATTTAGATTGACTGTGACATGAAATCTAAGTTGATCACGTCATTTCTACTGCCATTAATCTTTCATTATTCTTGTTTAGAAATTCTTTTTGAATGGACTTTTGGATGTCAAAGTCCATTTGAATAAATATTTATGTTTGGTGCTAAATTAAGAATGGACTTATGGATAAGTTGTTTCTCCAAAAAAGTCCATTCTATAGAAGTAAAGGATGAGGACTTTTGAAGAAGTCCTGGCATAATAAGTCTATTTAAGAAATGGACTTTTTCAAAAGTGCTTCCAAACAAGCACTAAGTAATTGTTATGTGGAGTAAATTAAGAAGAGTTTCGGCACATTTTGATATTATATGTCTGGAATTTCTGTTTAGATGGGCTAGTGGAGCACTTGATCCTGAACGTACTTCAGAAACTGATCTTGTTACTACAGTGAAAAGGTGCACACAAAGTCTTATGTAATTGGTTATTTGTCTTTTTGTTCTTTCTAAGTTTACTGGCTTCTAAAAGTGTGAATAGGATGTTGAATTTTATACTTTTGGCAGGGGTTTATGGGCTATGATTGCTGTGTTCCTTGCCTACTGCTTGTTTCAAGCGCCTTCTCCGTAAGTGTCCTTGTCCCATTTTCGGGAATTTGTCTTCCTATTAAATATCCTTTTTCTTGTCTTGAGAAAGTATTTTGGCTACCTTGGTTGAAGGAAGTGTCAGGATTAGTTAACCAGAAGTCATAAATAATTATTGAAGCGAATATATTTTTACTTTCTGGCCATGCATCTGTTGTTAGGATATGGCTGCACAAAAGAAAAGGATAACGAACAGCCGAGTAATATTTTCTGGCATTAATGGTTGGACTTCTGCACATGTTCAACTTTTCTATCATTTCATGGCCACTGAAATTAGGATCTAAAGCGCGAAATAGTTTTAGCGGCTTAATTCTGAAACTCGTCTGTGCGTACCTTTCAATTTGAATAATGGGGCACAGTTGCAGGTTCTTTTACTTGGTAAACCATTTAACTGGTATCACAAAAAGGTTTAATGGGCGTCAGCAGTCTTTAGAAGTTATGGTTGGTGTTTTCATCGTTAAGGGACTATGCAATGATCTATGATGCACCAATGTTTTGTGTTGAATTTTTATTTAATCAATGTTACTTTTGTATTTTCAAAATTGTTATTTATATAATTTCTACCGTCCTACGTTGTTTTCAGTGTTCTGATCCGGCCACATCCTGCAATTTGGCGCCTTGTTCATGGAATGGCTGTCATTTATCTTGTCGCACTAACGTTTCTCCTTTTCCAGGTTAGTTATTTAGCAGATGTCAGCTTTAATAGTAAATCCATAATAATGCCTATTTCGTCTTGAATTTATTGCTTATCTAACTGAAAACTTCTTTTTCTGCAGTCAATTATTAATGTTGTGGGATCTGTCTATGACATGATATTGCATTAATTTTTTGCAAAACAATTATAATGAAAAAAGTTCTTATAAATTTGGCATACTGAAGTGTGTGTGACAATAACAAGCAAAAATGGAATACTGAACACTTGTTGAAGTTCTCATCTTTTAGGCATTGACATATTATCTTTATATGCCTTCTGAAGTTACACTAGGATTACATCTCTTCTCTTCAAGTATCTTCAGAATCTGGTTTTCCTAAATTGGTACTGTAATGCATTCAACCTTAGTTTTTCCTATGAGACTCTATTTCTTCTGCTTCATGCTTTAATTTGTAACTTCTGGATTTGTGGATTTTTATTCAGTGTTTTTCTGATGCACTTATTTTTTTGCCTTTTCCAGAAGCGTGACGATGCACGGCAGTTCATGAGGTTCCTGCATCCTGATCTTGGTGTTGGTAAGGCATTTCTACGTATTCCCTAAATAATGTATTTAGTATCTTCTTCAAAGACAATGCATTTGCATGTTTATCATCCTTTTTTTATTGTGATGCATGACTTCAAATTGTGTTATTACATTGTTGCTCCATGATGTAGAGCTTCCTGAGAGGTCTTATGGTGCTGATTGCCGAATATATGTGCCCGAAAATCCCTCAAGCAGGTTTAAGAATGTTTATGTATGTTATCGATGTTTGCCTTAGTGTCTTTGTTGCTTAAACTTGTTCTTTGTCTATGATGAATAAACATGCCCTTCAGCTAAAGTTAGTTTTTATTTGTGTTTAGGATACACTTTTTGATGAGTTTGTTCTGGCACATATTCTTGGATGGTGGGGGAAAGCTATAATGATTCGTAATCAGCCACTGTTGTGGGTGCTTTCTATCGGATTTGAGTTAATGGAGGTGAGCTTTCACCTGAACATGCTAATGTTGCTCTCTGTTTTTCATTTCCAGTAAGCTCTAAAGATTGATTTATTTTCATATTAATGGT